TATATATATATATATATATATATATATATATATATATATATATATATACACACACACACAATTACCTTTAATTGCAGTTACAGTTGATGTAGGCAGACCAAAATCCCTATTTTACCAAACCTTGATGCATTTAAAACTGGATATTGTTCATGCTATGGCACAGTATAATTCTTATGTTAGATAATTAGTCAAATTTGACTCAGCCCTGTGCCGTCTCCAACCCAGGCCAGAGACACCGTGCCACTCAGGTCATTGAAGTTATGCTGAAAAAGAGAAGTAGAGACATAATAAAGATTGCTTGACTGCAAATAAACATTGTAGTTAAAATTCTGGAGATGGATGATCTTAATAAATCCCTGCACCGGCGATGTGAACGTATCAAATTTTTTCTACAAAAACAACCTGCATAACTCCAATTAAATTCAAACTAAAGCAAAACAGGTCATTTTCATTAGCACCACTCTAAAATCTATTTTATTGTAATATTGTTCTCTCTCCCGCTCTCTCAGTCCGAAAGCAGGTTTGTTTTCAGGTGAAACTAAACACCACAGACTGTTTTACTGTAGTCCACAGGGATGAGATTGCAGGCTGGAATCAGATAAAAAATTTTAAACATAGATTGAAAAAAATAAATAATAATGACTAAAAACAGGACTCTAAACCACAGCTTTAAATAGCTAAAAATAAGAAACATCAAGTACAGAGCAGAAAGTTGTCACACAAATACAACTAAAAAATCTAATATGAGAAAAACATGCTTTAGAAGAAAAGGGAGAAATTCTCATTTCTGTATTATAGACAACAAACAGCATTTTTATGCACATTTTACATGCAAATGTTTTGATTTGATGGTAAAGCTTTCCAATTTGGAGACAATCAGACACAAAGTAGACAATTGTTGACATGCAATAAAAACTCATGTAGATTCTTTGCTCAGAAATTCTTGTCTTGGAAGAATTTAGAGCAATAATTGATTTAAATCGGTTGAGTCATTCTTGAGATTTCTTTTAAAAATCTAAACAAGATTCATGTGAACCGTAGTGTTTTTTCATCAGAAAAGCAGGATATTTCTCCATTTAATCTCATTATTTTATATGAACCACTGAGACATTAAAGAGACCCTTTAGGAAGCTAAACTGATCAATAATCAGCTAAAAAACAAAATTTATGTTAGTGTTACGAATCCTGTCCATGGACTTCCGTCCGTTTACCACCAGAAGTCACTTGTCCATCATATTGACTCTCTTACTACACAGACTGTTACACGTCACCACAGACTACATTTCCCATCATCCATTGCACTGATTGCACACAGCTGTATCCAATCACACACACACTATATTACACTCACTCAGACTCACTCAAACTGCCGAGTATTGTTCAGCATTTATCACTCACCCAGCGATAGCTACTCTACGGAGCCAGCTCTTGTTTTCCAAGTTTAGTCATAGTCTCGCCTTGCCTGTTTTCCTGTGTTCAGATTCTTGCCTGTGTTTTTGGATTACCCTTTTGTCTTGCTGTTTCAGACTCTGTTTGCCCCTGCCTGGACTATTGCTATTAACCTGGATTATCTCTTGCCTTGACCTGTTGAATTACGTTCGCCATCGATTGACCTTTGCCTGTTTCTTGGACTATCTTGTGTCTTGCCCGTACCATACCCGTTTGCTGTTGTTCGACCCTGCCTGTGTTTTGACCATGTTTATTAATAAAAGCTTGCAAATGGATCTGCACGTCTCTAGTCCCTGTCGCCCCGTGACAGTTATTAATGCCATTTAGATGGTATAATAATAGGCAACTATGCAAACACATTTACAGTGCTTAATCAGAATAATCCTGGTGATTCTAGAAAGAAAAACACAAGTGCTGGGATTTATCTTTCCACAGGGAAGTGGAACCATTTGGCGACATGCACACAGAAACCACTGCTGATTCGACAGATGGCTGTGCCGCTGTCAGCCGCCCCACACTGCTAGGGAATGTGCGTGTTTGTGTGTAAGGGCACATTTAAGAGGACAGGCCCGCTGTCCTCTTAAATGAAAGGGACTGAAACCTCCCTTTCAGTTTCATTCACTGGAATGGAGACCCAGATGGTGTGTGTGTGTGTGTGTGAGAGAGAGAGAAAGAGAGAGAGAGAGGAACCGAGCGAGTGCCCCACATTTTCATCTGCCTCACACACTGAGAACAAGAGAGCAACTGATGTCCAAGAGATTGTGGGAGAGAAAAGGAGGGAAAAGAATAAAGAGAGTCCAAACACACATAAAGAGGCTCTGCTCCAAAAGCTTGTGAGCTCTGATATGGAACCTTGTAAGTGGACACTCCACACAGACAGCAATTCCTGCTTCGTTCTGAGAAATTGATTTCAATAGAGTATGTTGCTAAATGCACATACATTAGGGTAAAATAGAACTGCATTATTATTACAGCATTCTTATTTAAAATCTACTCGCCATACTGGGATTATTCAACCTGATCTCACTGCAATTTACGAGGTTGCTAATTCATGCAAATTCGTACAACCTGCTTGTACAAATTCGTACGTTTTGTGGGAAATCATATGTAGTTTACGAGGTGGAAAATTCGTAGGAATTCATACGAATGACCACCACTAACCCCGCCCCCTAAACCTACTACCCCTCACAGAAAATGTACAAAATTGTACGAGTTGAGGTCATTCGAATTTGTATGAATTAGCCACCTCATTAAATACGTACGAATTGGTCGTGAGATAGTGTTGGATAATTTTTTTTTTTTTTGGAAAGAATAAAATAATTTTGTAGAAAAATTGGTTAAAAGTAATGTTGTTGTCATTTAGAACAGACTGTGTCAGAAGTGTTCCAGTGATTTCTTAAATGGTGCCTATGTAGGAAGCTCACTGTGTTTTAGAACAGAGCCACACATTCCTGGGTGTTTTTTATTTAATCTAGGTAGATATTGTGGTAACAGGGGTGTGTGCAAAAATATGCCAAATATTAATTATTTAAAAAGTAATAAAAAAAAAAGTATTCAGAAAGTATTCAGACCCCCTTAAATTTTTCACTCTTTGTTATGGGTGCTGTGT